CGGGCGCGCGCGCGCGCGTGTGGCCGAAAACAACACCAACACTTGGTGCATAGCTTTGTGCTTGTTGTAACCTCTCCAACTCTCTTTATTATAATAAAGAGAGTTAAACTCGGTTAAGAGTCCAATGTGGGAGTGACTCTTGACCCTTCAAATCCCACAACCAACGTTTTACGTGCCCTTTTATGGCTAACTTTAACAATTTATTTCTCACTCATCGAAAATCAGTTTTGAGAAAATAAACATACCACGAGTATCTACTCGGAACGTAGAATTTTTCTACAATATTTAATTCAACTCAAATTAAATATTTAGCCATCAAAAATTCAGTCAAACCCGGGTCAAACTCAAGTTTTACAACTGATTTTTCCAACACGGAGCACTTACCTCTCTTGGTTCACGTCGGCGGACAGATCTGCAGGAGTACTCACTCGAAGCTGTTTCGTTTTCTAGCTTCGTGGTTGATCCAGGGTGATGGAAGGCGCACGGAAAGAGGAAATGTTATATGGGTAGCTCGGCCGTGGAATAACAATATTTTCGGTAACAGTTTGAAGGGGAAAATTTCGTTGGCTCGGCTTGCAGGAAAGAATCCAACATTGCCGCTGGGTGCAAACGAGACGAGTCGAGTCGAATCGAGTATTGGCCTTATCGAACAGAATTGATTTTTTTGTTTAGCTGCTCGAGCTCGTCGAACTCGATATTTTAGGCTCGAGAAATTACAATAGTTCGAGCTCGGCTCGAGATCGACTCAAAAATTTGTAAGTAAAAAGGTAAAATTACGGACTTATGCTAAAATATATATACGAGTAATAATTTAACATGTATCTCGAGCCGCTTGACAAGACAAAATATGGGTTCGAGCTCGAGTCGAGCTTTGACTGAAGCGCTCGCGAGCGGCTCTTTTGCAGCGCTAGGTCACTCTGCAGTATTATGGTCTTCTGAACTGGGAGACCGAAAACTTTGTTAACCGAAATTTCGGTCTGTCCAACATGAAAACCAAATCAAACTGAAATTTGTGTTTCGGTTCGATATCAAATTAAAAATCTATAGGTTTGATTGATTCAGTTACTGATTAGCCCGTAAAATGAAAAATAAAAAAGTAAAAATTTAGACTTGTGAGTTAAAATATAGCAATTGCTAGCTAATTAGGGGGTGATTGTTTACCAATTCAACTAACAAAAAACCAATCAAAACTCAAATTTAACTCAACTTTAATTCAACAATATTATCAATATAATCAAACAATATCAAGCAATTATTCTTACACATCACATCAACTTTAATTCACTACCCATTCACTACATAATTTTAAACCATCAAATCATGTTTCTTATATTTTACATCAAATCAACTTTAATTATTTTATTTAAATATTATTTAAATACACCTACTAACAACTAATCATACACATTTTTTCTAAAAGTAACTATAGTTACAATTCAAATAAAAATCAAAACTTTTGCCTGTCCGGCTAGCTACCTTCAGGCATAATACAATCTCTTCAGCTCATTCTTGACAGATCCGATATAGTTGAATAAATACAATCACCCCCTTATAATCACCAAACTAAACTAAAACGGTGTCAGAAAATCAAGTCTCATACGAGACGAACAGATCTTGGGCATTGTCGAATTGTCATCTATTAATATATAATTGTAAAATAGGCTAAGGATTAATATTAAATAGTAATAAAAAGCCCACTTAAAATTTTCTTTATACTATATTTCAATTTTTTCTAAATGAAATGTAAATTATGTAAAAAAAATTAGTTTTGTACCGATTTAATGATTCAACTTTTTGTAAGTAGAAGATTTAGGAAATTCTCAAAACCTTTTTAAGGTAAATGAAAAATTAATTATAAGTATTATATTTTAATTAATTGAGTTGAAATAACTCAAAAGGTTGTAGGGTTTACAAATATTATATTTTAATAAATATTTGGACAAACTAAATGAGCCATAAATATGCATTATATATGAAAATTGTGGAGGGGCTCGTTGGGGACAAGTAGAAAAAAACGGAGCTCGATTCCGAGTCCGTATGAGCTCGTACGAGCCCGCGGTGCACGGGTGCGCAACTGGCTGCGGAAATCAAAAGGTCGCAACCTTTGGTGACCATAAGCTATCTTTTGGCCACTAGATACATCTATTCTTGTTTGGGCACGTCTCAAAAGGTGTCTTTTGACACTTAAACCTCTTGGAGGTGTCTCCCTACATCTATAACTACAAACTAGCATGAAATTATTCAAGACATTAAATTATTCCATAACCTTTGCATCCTTTTTGCAAAGTTCATCTTGACAGTTCAAAACATAAGTATTGTTCTCGAAGTTTTGTGTATTTGAGTTACCGCTATACACAAATCTTGGAGGCGTTAGCCGTGAACTGTGGGTAATATACGTGGCTATTTCGTCTTAAGGAGAGCGTATCTTACGTGCCTCGACTTTGTTTTTTTTTACCAAAATTCCTTCTATTTTATAAAGCCATTTTTTTTTTTAAATTCACATACCAAATATAAACTACAAAATATCTCGCCTTCAACATATATAATTTAAATTTTAAATTCAAACGGTTTAATGTCCATAATTTTTCTTTTATTTCCCTTAATTCTTGGAGCTAAAATATGGTTATTAAACAAATAACTCCAAACAAGAACTTTAATATTACAACTATTTTATTACCGATGAAATAAATATTTGAATTACTAAACACCGCACCCTTATTACTACGTACTGCCCTCCAAAAAGACAGTTTTGCCCTTTACTCTTTTTTTTTAAAAAAAAAAAGAATGCCCCACCTTCTAATCAATATATCTGCTGAACCGAGCACAGAAAAAATTCCGAAAACACATCCAAATAATTCCGGCAAAAAAATACTATCCAACAATACCGATCATGCGGTCTTGTTGATTATGAGGCTTTGATTATGAAGCTTGGATAGATTTATTTATTTATTTATTTATTTTAAGGTTAGGTGCTTTAAGCAAAATACAAATTGACCCTTTTTGATATACTTAGAAGTTCTTATCGTTCTAAAGGCTCGATCGTGATAAATGGAAAATCTTTACGTTTCTAACTTTAGAGGATTGGTTGTTCTTGAACTTCACTAATGCTCCACGAATCAAATGATGGATGGGAGATAGTCTTCGGCTTGCAGCTTGGAGAATTTGTGATGGAGATGAGGACAAACATGATCTTGGAATATTTAATTTAATTATTTACTTTTTTGTTAGTGTTAGTATTTTAGTCTCAGATTTGTTAGTAAAGTTATTTAATTTTTTAGTCCCGCCTGTGACCATCGTGTTCCATGCTCGCATCATTTTCAATTTACCTGCTCTGATACCATGTTCAATGGTAGTAGAGCTTCTACTCAACAATGGAAAACATAGAAACATGAAATTGATAGAGAGAGAGACCATCTTCATTATCAGATTGAGAGAGATGAAAATATCTGAGTACATTCCAACGGCTAGTATATGCATTTTATACATTCAGAAATAAGAGAAAAATACAAAAATGCCCCTGACCACTTAACAGGTAATTAACTAATAGAATAACTACCAAGAAGGA